ATATTCTTTATTTTATGAGCCAGTCTGTTATTTAGCTAACAGGTGGCCTCAACGGATAATTTTGGTTTAAGGTTTAAAGTGTATCCCAGTGCGGTAGTCTCAGGGAGTCCTCTCGTCTCAACTGGTCCAGTTAAGTCTGGACTTTTTAAGAATTTGAGTTCAGCTTGGCTCCTTTTATAGTACAGCTACTCTAACCATGGGAAATATCATCTTCCCAAGACCTTCTGGACTTCTCAGATAAATGTGGACATGGTAGCCAACATTTGTATTGTTGATTGGATGATATCCCTCTCTGCCACTCAAGGGTTGTTCTTTCCTTTTGACTTTGCAGAGAAGGTGGTACCAGACAGAAAACGAGTACTACTTGCTGCAGTTCACGCTGACCGTTCGCTGCCTCTACTACACAAGCTTCAGCCTTGAGTCATGCTGGCAGCAGCTGCCCGCTGAACGTGCCTCCTACTCCTTCCCCTGGATGTTGGCCTATGTCTTCTATTACCCAGTCTTCCACAATGGGCCCATCCTCAGCTTCCCAGAGTTCATCAAACAGGTAGAGCCCACTGGGGAATGACGTGGGATTCTGTAAATTAAGTCAATTCTGTAAATTAAGGCTCTCTCCTTGTTGCTGTGGTTACCTAGGTGACTCTTGAGTCTTTTCTTTTAGATGTTTCCTACTTTGTAGATCTACTACCAATGCCAGCAAGTTAAAAAACAAACAAACATGTTCATTGTCTTGATTTTTAACATAGTAAATGAATATTTAGGGGAAATACAGCTTTCAAAATAAAGGTCAACCTGTCTGCTGTATATTTTAGCTCTAAGAGCTCCCACTCTGATTCTTGGTGTATTGTGGCCACCAGGATTAATATAGGGCACAGCAAGGAACTTGGAGGTGGGGTATGCACTGCAGTGAAATTCCAGAAAAAGTAAAAAATTGATTCTGACAGTATTATTTCAAAAACAAAAAGAGAAATTGTCTAAGCTGTTGGTTGGCAAATAGTATGTTTCGTTTTATTTTCACAAGCGGTTATGAAATAGTTCTGCCATACCCTGGGAAATGTTGTTCAGGGTGACCTAGATGAGAAAACAGAGCAGAAGTGAAGGAAGCAGGGGAGCGTGGAGTAAAATGTTTGAAGGCAGCAGTGCTTATCCGGGATCTGGTGCCTGGTTCTGCCCAGGAACTTGCCTGTCTTCTCTAGACAGCATCCTTGTCTGAGGCTCCATCTCAAGCTGCCGTTGTTTTCCTCTCCTCACTTTTCCCCCCGTTTAGAGTATTTTCTCAATCCTGAGTTAGCTTCATAGAATGTTAAGTGAATTCACCTAAGGTGGTGGTAGTGGTAGTGTTGGGTGCTGTGGAATCAATTCCAACTCATAGAAACTGCATGTGACAAAGTAGAACTTCTCCATAGGGTTTTCTAGGCTGTAATCTTTATGGAAGTGATCTCCAGGTCTTTCTTTTGTGGAGTGACTGGGTGGATTCGAACCATCAACCTTTCAGTTAGCAGCTGAGCACTTAACTGGTGTGCCACCAGGGCTCCTTAATAGGCACCTATTGTTTTTGTTGTTGTGTGCAGTCAAGTGGATTCCAACTCATAGTGACCCATGTGACAGAGTAGACCTGCCCCATAGGGTTTCCTAGGCTGTGATCTTTACAGGTATACATTACTAGGTCTTTCTCCCATGGTGGGTTCGAACCGCCAACCTTTTGTTTAGCAGCTGAGAGTTTAACAGGTTGTGCCACTAGAGCTCCTTAACCTATGGTGTTAGTAATTGATAATAGCTAAAACAGTGTTTTTAAGGGACTTTTCTACCCCCCGCCCCCCAAACAAGAAAAAACAACCCTGACAGAGGGGAGAATAATAACTTTATCTTTGCTCGTCCCTTACCACCTTGGGGCTGGGAGCTGGGTTAGTGTGCAGGGCAACCAGCAGCAATAGTCTCAATGAGGCACAGAGAGTAATATGGAACGTGCCCCCTGGAAAAGCAGGAGCATTCTTAGAAATCTCATATTTTCTCTTAAAAATTCAACTAAGTTATGTAACTGTACCTGTTGCCATCCTTTGCTATTGTGAATAATGCTGCAATGAACATGGGTGTGCATGTATAAGAGTTCCAGTCTCCCCACAGCCTCTCCAATATGTGTTAATTTCTATTTTTTTGGATTAGTGCCAGTATTGTTGGGGTGAGATAGTATCTCATTGTAGTTTTGATTTGTATTTCTCTAATGATCACGAGCATTTCTTCATGTCTGTTTGCTGCCTAAATGTCTTCTTTATTGAAGTGTGTGTTCATATCCTTTGCTCATTTTTGCTTGGATTATTTGTCTTTTTCTTGTTGAGATGTTGAAATATTTTGTAGATTTTAGTGATAAGACCCTTGTCAGATACGTCATAGCCAAATTTTTTTTCCCGGTCTGTAGGTTGTCTTGTTACTTTTTTGGTGAAGTCTGTTGATTTCCGTAAGTGTTTAATTTTTAGGAGCTCCCAGTTACCAAGTTTATTTTCTCATGTCTGTGCATTGTTAATTATGGTTTGTATACTATTTATGCCATGTATTAGGGCCCCTAGTGTTGTCTCTTTTTTTCTTCCATGATATTTATTATTTAAGGTTTTATATTTAGGTCTTTGATCCATTTTGAGTTAGTTTTTGTGTATGGTGTAAGGTATGGTTCCTGTTTCATTTTTTTTTACAGATGGACATCCGTTATGCCAGCACCATTTGTTAAAAGCGACTGTCTTTTCCTCATTTAATGGACTTTGGCCCTTAGTCAACTATCAGTTGCCCGTAGCTGGATGGATTTACATTTGGGTCTTGATTCTGTTCCATTGGTCAATGTGTCTGTCATTGTACCAGTACCAGGCTGTTTTGACTACCATGGTGGTATAGTAAGTTCTAAGATCAGGTAGTTTGAGGCCTACCACTTTGTTCTTCTTTAGTAATGCTTTACTTATCCAGGGCCTCTTCCCTTTCCATATAAAGTTGGTGATGTGTTTCTCCACCTTGTTTAAATATGCTGTTGGAATTTGGATCAGAATTGCATTTTATCTATAGATTGCTTTGGATAGTATTGACATTTTCAGAATGTTGAGCCTTCTTATCCATGAGCATGGTATGTTTTTCCATTTATGTAGGCCTCTTTTGGTTTCTTGCAACAGTATTTGGTAGTTTTCTTTGTATAGGTCTTTTACATCCCTGGTTAGATTTATTCCTAAGTATTTTATCTTTTTGGGGGCTATTGTAAATGGTATTGATTTCCTGATTTTCTTTTCTAAGTTATTTTTGTTAGCATAGAGAATCCAACTGATTTTTATATGTTAATTTTGTATCCTACTACTTTGCTGAAAGCTTCTATTAGCTCCAGTAGCTTTCTTGTGTATTCTTGGGGTTTTCTATGTTTGGGGCCTATCATCCGCGAACAAAGATAGTTTTATCTCTTCCTTAGTGTTCTGAATGCTCTTTATTTCTTTTTCTTGCCTTCTTGCTCTAGTTAAGACTTCTAGCACGATGTTGAATAAGAGTGGTGATAAAGCGCATCCTTGTCTTGTTCCCATTCTCAAGAGGAATGCTTTCAATCTCTCTGTTGAAAATAATGTTGGTTGTTGGTTTTGTATAAGTGCCGTTTATTATGTCAAGGAATTTACCTTCTATTCCTATTTCGCTGAGAGTTTTTAACAGGAGTGGTTGTTGGACTTTTTCACATGCTTTTTCTGCTGGAGTTTGTCACGTGCTTTTTCTGCATCATTTGAGATGATCATGTGATTCGTTTTATTTTTATTTTTATTTTCATCCAAACATATCTTTATTGAAATTTTTCTTGGTACCAATTCAAAGCTGAAAATAATTTTTTTAGAGTTTTGAAGATATTATTCTCTTTTGGATACATTGCTGCTATTGAGGAGCATACTGAGCATTTTGCTGTCATATCTTTGTTGATGAACTCTTTTTTCCTCTTTGGTTGCTCTAAAATTCTTGCATTTGTTATTTTGCAGTTTCACTACATTAAGACTAAGCATGTATTTTTAATATAAGTGTTTGCGATATGCTGTGCTTCCTGAATTTATCGATTTTCCAAATACAGAAAATTCTCAGTTATCTCTCCAAATATTGCCTTTCCTCCATTCATTCTCTCCTCCTAGTACTTCTAGTTTTTATACCTGTTTTCTGTGCATCTCTTTTCTTTACTATTTTATAGTTCTTTGTTTTTCTGTGCTGTTCACTGGGCAATTTCTTTACATCTAGCTTCCTGTTTACTAATTTTCTCTTCTGCTGAGTCTAATATGATATTCAACATGTCTGTTTTTTTAAAATTGTTATTTCAATAAATATATTTCTCATTTCTAGAAGTTGTATTTGGTTCTTTTTCAAATCTGCCTGTGGTTCCATCCTTTATTGCTTGTGTTGGTGGTGAGAACTTGGAGAATTAAATCTAACGTTTGTTGTTTCTATCGGTTCTCTCTCATGCTAGCTAGTTTCAGCTTGTACATGGTAATCTCTAGTCAGGAAATAATATTGCTTGACTTAATCTATGGGAATCTTGTAACTAAATAGGAATGTTTTTCTTTTGAGGGAATTAATATCTGCCTCTGGCAGATCTTTAGGGTACTATAAATCCTTAAGCCCTCCTTAACGGCTTAAGGCAGTCGCAGATTCAGATATCTCTCCTTGTTTCCTGGTGCAAAGCAAACTGCATATGGCAGTAGTGCTATTGACATTTGCCCTCACACAATCACAGTTCATCTGTATGCTAACTGTAGCATTCACTATTATCAACTGGGATGGAGAAACATAAAGGTGTGGTTCTTGCAGATTTCTTTGAACCTAGCAATGCATTCAAAAGTAGGTTTTATTCAAGATCGAGTTGTTCTGCAGTACCTAAGCTAACATACTATTAAAGCAAAAGTCTTATTTAATATATTAAAAGTTACAATATACTAATATAAGAAATTGCATGATTTATGTCAGTCCTTACTGATTCAAACTTCTCTGGAAAAGTTGCCTAATCCTCCATTATAACAAAACACACAGTATCTTGGAAATGAGTGTATACTAGAAAAGTCCTTGAGTACGAACTTATCCAACAGATTGTTGATACACTTTGTAGAAATTTCTCCTGCGGTTCTATTACTAAAAATATTGAGCCAACCCTAACTATTCAAATTTTCAATGTCCTGATCAATGTGGGATTGAGATCAACAGGACTAAAATCTATGAAAATATGCCATCATTTTGAAGCTTTTTAAAAATAGATAATAATTATTTGTTATGTGCAACTTCCACCTAAATGTATGACTTTTTCTGGCTGATCAGAAAGCGGTGTCTCACTCTAGTCACTGAAGTAATGAAAGGCGATGCCCGCAGCAAGGACTACCACCGCAGAGGCTGTAGTCACACCTGTGTTTTGCTGAAGTTTCAATACTGGTGCAGTTTGAAGTGGTTGTTTTGGTTTTTCATCATCTGTGAAGTCCCAAGAAGCTTCACTATCCATAGAGGAACTCACACAAGCTGTGTTTATTTCCTCTGCAATTTCTAAATCTTCTGTTGGAATCATTT